CAATTAAAGCAGCCAGGGAAGCGGTGCCATGGGGCCTGTGCCTCTGGATGGGCTCAGGGTGCCAACCTGTCAGAAGCCAACGTGGAAATCTGCACTGCTAGGAGAAGGCACAAGCAGCCAGCACTCCTGCACAAAGCAGGCAGCAGGGGAGCACCTGGCAGCTCCTGCACACTGATTTTCAGTCTCCACAGCAGAGCTGTAACAACCACCAGGGCTGATGTACAGAAGGGTTTCTATCTCGCTGCTGACCTCCATCTCCTACATCAAAACAAGCACATCAAAACAACCCACTGACAAAACAGCCATTTGTAACATCTGGTGCCAAGCATTACCCACTATACTCCCAAGATTTTTCAATGATTCTGACTAACTCTAAGTTCAAAGGGCTGATAACACATCCCTGGCACTCGTGTCTCGTTACGCAGGAAGCTCTCCTGGCAGAGGCTTCTCACCCTGTCTGCTCCTTCTTGCCATCTACAAAGTGGCTCACAGACACCTTACAAAAGAACTATGGAGTTCTTGGAGATTTCTTTCTTTCACTACAAGCTTAAAGGGATCTCACACAGATTTTAAACCTGTCCAACCTGGCTGAAGTTCAGGGATTTTAAAATCTGTATCTGGGGATCCAATGACTCCCTCTGCATTCACACATGGGCTAAGCAGAATCTCTGCTAGCAAGCAGTGCAGCAGAAATTACCTCTGTATCCTCAGTCAAGGACAGTCCTAATGAAGCATTCTTATTTTTGATACAATATGCAGTATTTTACTTAATAGGTGCCTGCAAGCTATTAGGTACAAAGGCATATATATCAAAAAGAAATCAACAAAACTCTCACCGGGTCTGCTTCTCCCCACATACTGACAGATCTGTATAGAAGTCCTACTTCAATTTTAAGAGGTGTTCCTGCATGACAGACAGCAGTAGAGGCGATGCATCCTCAACAGCCTCAATTTAAACTGGAGAACATGGTCTGGAACTGGAGAACTGGTCTGGTATTAAATGTGGAGGTTGGTGGCCCTGCCTGCAGCACGGGGGTTGGAGTTTCATGATCCTTGGGGTCCCTTCCAAGCTGGGCCATTCTGTGATTCTATGAACATGCTGAGATGAGGACAACTACCTGGAGAGTGTAAGTGGATTAATATGTAAGAAATCAGTAACCTGACAGTGTAATTGCCAAAAAGCAAGGGAAAGGCAGGGCAACAGTTGCATGAGACAAAGGCATGAGTCCCAAGCCAATGAATAGGACGGTCACCCCGAAGTCTGTAGTTTAAACAGATTCGCCCAGGGCTTTGAAAACCAGACTAAGTCAATCTACAGAAAAACAGCTGCAAAGCAGCCCTCTTTGAGTAGGAGGGCAGAGAGGACTGGGCACTCCAAGAGGATTCAAAGGGCAGAACTTGCACATCAGATACCACTCATCACCACGTCTGCAGAAGAACAAGAAGCCCAGCTCCAAGCTACTCATTTATCTGGAAGCCTCCACTAGTAATTTCAGTTCTCTTGTGCTGTCTTTGCTACTTCCACAATTCTAATTAAATAAATCCCAGAGGTCACAAGGTAAGGATACAATTCTCAGTAATTAATCTCTTCAAACTGTAACTCAGTCTGGTATTTCTGATGTTACAAAGGAATCCTGTGGCGAGCCTAAGATATTCCAGCAGAAGCCGAGCTACGATCAGCATCTTCCTGTCATTGAGATTACAAAACAGCTGAAGAACTGTCAGGGCACCCAACGTTGTCGCTGTGAGATAGCAGCCGTCCCTGAAGAGCAGTACATATGTGGAACAGAGCAACAGGGAAGAACAAAGATAAAAGCTTTTGACCTTTGCTCTGAACTGAAAACATGAATCAGCAAAAACAGCAGTTTCTGTACTCTTTAACGTGCAGCTCAGCATATTTTCTGCCAGTTGTACTCGCTGTTTGTCATGCTCGTGCAGTCAGAGAGTAAGATCTGTCTCCCTTACCCACACATGTATCTAGCGTGAGATCTGGTATGCCATCAGTAGCTTCCTCCCACAAGACCAAAGTAGCATCTACCCCTCAGATCCAGAATTGCACGCACGCCATTAGATGGGAATAACAGCCACACCAAGGTCTTCAGAAGCAGGAGATGAGACAGAATCCTTGGGATCTGACCTTGCAGTCTTCTGTGGCCTGGACGCAGCAGAGAACCAGGCAGAGAGCACCAGGAGGCAGCGCAGCAGAGCCATGCTGGCCATCTGCCTACAGGGGAACGCACCGCCTCACCTGGGAGGAGAGAATGGGAGAAAGGCAAGAACTCTCACATTTACAGGAAGAGGCAACGAAACGTGTGAGCAAAGGAGGCATTAGGTCAGAAGACACTGACAGATCCCTGGAACACCAGAAGTTTATCTCAGTCTTGCAAATGAGCAGACCAGATAAGAAGAAAAGACTTGAGCACTCTTTAATCAGCTTTCTGAGGACAAAAAATTATCCCCATTTTTAGCACTGTGAATTTATTTCTCTGTCTAGCACTGCTTCTGGTGCTAACCTCTAGAAATATCTCCTTCCAAGCATCAGAAATTGTCTCTGTGCAGCACACGTTATTTGAAACAGCTGCTCCTCAGGCTTAAGGAGACTGAATCAGCTTCCAAAATGGACCAGGCAAAGGGTCAAGAAATTAAACCTTTAAGCTGCTGATGAGCACAGCCTCTTGCTCCCATTACCAGGAGCAATCCTGCCTCACCTGGCAGCTCTGCTCACTCTGTCGCCTCTGTCCCCATGGCACAGGCAGCAAGAGGGACAGCAGCAGTTTCCTCATCCCTTGGGTGATCTGTAACCACGTGGCAGATGCAACAATCACCAGCAGTCATTGCTTCAGGGTGGTGATAGAAAAATCCCCACTGTTCAAACATGGAGCTGTGCCCAGGCTCTTCTTTAACTCAAAATGTGTGTGAACTGAGAGCTCCTTGGGCTCACTATCTGTCTTTTGGGGTGATGAGCTGAAAAACAGAGGTTTCATACACCTCAATGAATTGTACCACCTGCTATAGTCTTTCACGGATCTCCCCCCTGTAAAGATGACAAGAAAGAAGAGAGGAAACAAGCAAGAGCCCTAGTTTTCAGATCTGCTCCTCTGTGACTCTCATCAGCCCCAAATTTCCCAAGTAAGCCTCAAAAATTTACAAAAACTGCCTGCTGCCCATGCCAAGACAATGTCCCTTGCTTGACCAGTCTATGTCTCACACTCCATTACAGTCCCCTTGACCTTGAAGGAACACAGTTGGAAAGCAAGTCTTCAGGGTCAGAGGGTGAGCAGCAGCATACCCTGCCTGCTCCAGGAGAGCTGATGCCTGTCCAGCAAGACCCTGGGACACGTTCCCTCCAAAGAAAGGTGCCTAGCCTTTCATCTCTGTTCCTCAAGGTCCCCTCTCTAGGGATAGAGACAGATGAATGCAAGAGATGTGCCTCTTGAGGAAGGATGAGAAAAGGCGTACATCACCACATCCTTTTGAAGCTGAGGTGGTAAAGCAAACACCCTTCACTTGGAAGGATAAGAAGCAAGGACTGCGCATCTGAGATGCCTGTTGCATCCCCGTGAAGCAGAAAACAGAAGTTCCATTTCATGCCTCTCCCAGTGGAAGGATGATTGGGTTGGGGAGATGAAGCTCCATCGCTTTCCTAGAAGAGGATGACAGTAGCAGAGAAGCCAGGTTTCAGCCCGCTCTTCCATGGAATTCCTCACCAAAGAAAAGAGATCAGAAGCATGCACGTGGCAGGGAGACAGTGGACAAATAACTGCCTGGTATCCCCCGGCTCTTCCTGAAGAGCAGGTATGCATACTGAGGGGAGTAGGGACAGCAAAACTCCACTCCCGCTCACCCTTTCCCATCTGGGAAAAGGTCAACTCTTTGAAAGGGGAGATGACAGTAAGACAAGGGCAAATGGTTTGAAGTTGAGGGAGATTGAGGTTGGATGTCAGGGGAAGTTGTGTGCTGTGAGAGTGGTGAGGTGCTGGAACAGCTGCCCAGAGAGGCTGTGATGCCCCGTCCATCCCTGGAGGTGTTGAAGGCCAGGTTGGATGGGGCCCTGGGCAGCCTGGGCTGCTGTGAAATGGGGAGGTTGGTGGCCCTGCATGGCACAGGGGGGTTGGAGCTTCGTGATCCTTGAGGTCCCTTCCAACCCAGGCCATTCTGTGTGTGATTCTGTGAAATGGGAAGCACAAGCAAGAAGGTTCTCAGCCACCTTCCTCTGTACCTATCAAGGAACAAGAGAATGCCATTCCATCATCTCTGTATGCCAGGGAGTGCATGCCCAGATGCCCCTTTCCTTTAGGTGCAGAGGGAGGAAATAGAGGGAAAGATGCCCAGATCCCCTTTTTGCCAGAAGCATGTGAAGAGATGAGCAGGGTCTCCTCTTGCCATGAGTCCGCATGCAGCGTGGGGGTACCCAGCGCCTCCTATCCTCAGGATGCATTAGGGGGATTCATCGCCCACCCTCTCAAGTCCATGTTGAGTAGTACCCCATTCTCTATGGGCACTGGACAGCCCCTCACCTCCTGGACGCACAGCATTGGCTCGAGGAGGCTGCCCAATGCCCCCGGATGCCAAAAGGGAAGAACACCCTCCTTGAGTGTCTCTCCTTGACCCATTTATGTGTGAGACACGATGCCCAGCTGCCCCCATCCCTTGCCCCAAATGTCAGCATCAAAAGGGTGCGACAGGGAGCGCTCAGCCCCGCACCCATCAACACCAGGGGGGCAAGAAGGGCCGCCTGCTAAACCCATTTCCCCATAGCAGCTCCCTGTGCGAGCAGGGGACACTCAGTGACTTTTTGAGGAGGGCAGGAGGCAGATGGCATCCCGCCGCCTGAGGCGTGATGGTCCGGTCCTTCCGGGGGTGGAAAAGCACCCCGTCAGATCCGTGTCCTTCGGTCCCACACAGCCGACGGGGATCCTGTGCGTGAGCCGCCCTCGCTGGCACTGCTGGACCCCTCCCGCCCCCCACCGGGGCCCCGGGCCGGCAGCGGCCGCACTCACGGTTCCAGTAGACGGGGTAGCACTCGGCGTTGGCCACGTCCACCTCGTAGAGCCCGCTCCGCACGCACACCGGCTCCACCGCCGTCCGCTCGGGGCTGGGGCCGAGAGCTCGGAAGGCCAGTTCGATCCGCAGCGAGTCGTAACCGATGAAGGGCTTCCAGCTCTTCCGGTCCTCCCGGTAGAACCAGCGCACCTCCTCGGCCCCCAGCTCCCGCACCACCTCATAGCGGGGCCGCCCGCCGCCCGCCGCCGAGCGCTGCCGTTTCCTCTCGGGCAGCGCGGAGCCGCCGCCGCTCTCTCCGCTCGCCAGCCCCGCGCCCTCGCCGCTTTCCCCGGTGCCGGAGGAGTAACGCAGCGAAGCGCCGGACTCGGCCGAATCGAACTCGCCGCCGCCGGTCGAGTCGCTCGGGGTGGCCGCCTCCGGTTCCCCCTCCTCAGAGGAGGAGGTGGAGAGCGCGGCGCGGAGCGGCTGCACGGAGCGCTGCCGGGGGCGGCGGGGCGGGCGGGCCAGGGGATGCTCCGCCGCTTCCTCCTCCTCCTCCTCCTCGCCGCCGGCCGCCCGCTCGTAGCGGCCGCCGTAACCGCCGCCGCCGCCGCCGCCGCCTTCCCCGGGCAGCTCCCAGGCGCCCTGCGGCGAGCCGGGCTCAGGGTAATCCATGCCGCGCCGGCGTCGCCTCACCTCGGCCGCCCTCGCGCCGCCCCGCTCACTCCCGGCTCGCGGCTGCCGCAGCCGCCGGCTCCTCCGCCCGGCCGGGGGCGGCGCCGCATCGTCACGTGCAGCGCGACGCGGCCGTGGGCGGTGCGGGGCGGGGGGGAAGGGAGGCCTGGGCTGAGGGCTGAGGGCTTCCTGGAGGCTGCTGGCTGCGCTTGGGCTGCATTACGCAGTTTGCGGGAACTGCCGAGCGTTTACCCCCGTCAACCCCAGCACGTCTCCGGGGTTACGTGGCACCCGCACGTGTGTCACTGAATCGCGGAATATCTCGGGTTGGAAGGAATCCGCAGGGATTGCCGTGCTCCTGGCTCCACGCTGACTACCCGAGCCCTGTGGCTCACTGGAACGGGTTGCCCAAGGAGGCTGTGGATGCCCCATCCCTGCAGGCATTCAAGGCCAGGCTGGATGTGGCTCTGGGCAGCCTGGGCTGCTGGTTGGCGACTTGCACACAGCAGGGGCTTGGAACTGGGTGAGCATTGTGCTCCTTTGCAACCCAGACCGTTCTGTGATGCTATGACTCAAAGCCATGTCCCAGTGTTCCCTGAGCTCTGGCAGCCCAGGGCCATACCCACTGCCTCTGGGGCAGAGCCTTGCCCTGACCAACCTTATCCTCGCAGCTCCATGCTGTTTCCCATAGAGCTCAGCACTCAGCTTGCTGCAGCAGCTGCAAGGCCTCCCCTCCGCCTGCTCTGCTCTGGGCCCAACAAACCATGGGGCCTCAGGCATTTTACACACACCTTGCCTTCCAGACCCTTCACCACCCCCATAGTGGATGGTGGCTTCATGTCTTCCTGATATTGCAGTGCTCAACTTGCACCTGGTGCTCGAGGTGAGGCCACACCTGCTGCTTTGGTGATGTCTCAGCCCAATGTGAGATCCCAGTCCTCCGAATGCTTGCTATGAGTACCAAAAAGGGAAGTGTTGGGCCCCAAAATGAGAGGTGCTGGGGCACACCTGTGCTTGTTGGTGTGTGAGCCACAACCAGCCACCTCCCTGCCCTGTGCACACCTGGCACTTGGCAGGAGGGGGTGCTGAGATGCGTATCAGTGCCGGGTGATAAAACACTTTGTTACGTCAGGAGCGAGGATGAGGGATGGTTTTCAGTCCCCAACACACACCCAGAGATGGATCACTGCTGTGTGTACGTCCCCCTCGTCTTATCTCGTGGCTGCTGTGGGGGTGGCAGAGGGAGAGCTTCCCAGAAACACACCCTGAAATACTGGGGTGGGGTCACCTGTTTGTACGAAACCCCCCGTATTGCAACACCCCCAGGAATGAGGAGGTGGAGTGAGGGTATGTGAGCGATGCTCCTATCCTGCCTGCACATCAGCTGTGGAAAAAAACAGGATGCAGTATGCGTGTTCTCCAATTCCCACATCTCCTCCTGGAGCTGGGATTCCACATCCTTAATGCACCATTCCCTTCTGCTTGGCTCTGTCCTGTGAGGGAACTTCCGTGTATTGCATGGCATTGTATCTCCCAGAATAGGTTTGTGACCTACCTGCTAGATCCACTTTCAGCGGGGGAATCCTTTTAATGGACTGCATTAAAATAGAAAGAGGCCAGATTAAGTTCAGGTTGGAAGGATGGGCGAAGCTTTTAAAAAATGTTTGCTGTGGGTGAATGCATCTTGAATGCCTGGCAACACTTTTTGATCCTAAAAACTCCACAAAACTTTGTTAGCATTCACACGCTTTCACCATGGGAGCTTTGTTAGTGCTCCTTCTGCATTCTCAGGTGGGGAAAAAGTAAAAAGAGAGGAGATGAAATATAGGCAGCCGTCAGAGGAAGCTGTGCTTGACTTGATATCCACGCCAGCCTAGCAACAGGGACATGAGCTACTTGTTTCATTTTGCATTTCTAAATGAACTCAACAAGGTATGCTTTCCGTGAAACCTGCCCCAGATTTTCCTCAACAGTGGGGAAGAAGAGGAGAATGCCACAGAGTCATAGAACCATTAAGGTTGGAAAAGATGACTGAGATCACCTCGTCCAACTGCCAGCCCACCCCACCATGCCCACTGACCAGGCGTCCCTCGGTGCCACATCTCCACGGGTCTTGAGAACCTCCAGGGGCGGAGGCTGTCGATTGCTTTGAAGACACATCCCATGAGATTCTCATTTCCATCCTCATTTCTGTCAAAGCCAGTGGGGTTTTCACCATCTTTTATCATTCAGCAAGTGTTTCGCCCTTCTTCATTTATATCATCCTACTCGGATGCTCCCTCCTTTTCTTCTTGTTTGAGAGAACAAGGAAAGGTTGCCTAAATGACCAAGGGACACATCATGTTCTTTATCTCATGTATGTATTATTTCAGATGACTTGATCTCTGATTCTGTGATTTATTTCTTCTTGTGCACTTCTGTGAGTGTATGTCTGCTGTCCATTTGCAGACGCTGCTTTCTTGTTCGCAATGTCCCTGTAGACTATAGGCAAACAGAGATTGTTCATCATCATCAGGCTGAACCACAGCATCAAGAACTGCAATTTGACTTTTCTTTTTCAGAGCCGTTTTGGAAACCTAGAAATACAAGTGGCAGAAAACTGGTTTATTGAATGTGAAGGGACCTGCAGAACCTCAAGTTCCCTCCCAGAAATGTCCAATTTCTGCTCACTTTGAATTTCTGGGGGAGATCTTTGCTGGGGTGGGCTGGTGTGAATGGAGCCCAGACCTCTCTCTCTAGAGCTCAGAAGAGGAACATTTTCCTCTTTGTGTGGTTGGGAACACACAGTTTGTGGGTGTGGAGTAGCACAGAAGTTCCTGGCGTGACACAGGACTCTACTCCCATCGCTGCTGATTTACATCAAGTAAAAAGTAAGAGTGAGTGTGCAAGGGCAGAAGTTCCCTTACAGAGGAAATATGTGGAAGAATGTGAGTGTCTACGTGGAAGGTTTAAAACCAAATTGCGTTAATTTTGAAGTGTTGTTTGTATAGCTCCGTGAATTTCTACGCAGACTAAGATCAGTCCTGTATGTCATGAAACCCTCACAGAAAGCTTCCACAGACCATCAATCGATACCCAAACATGTTGGCAACTTCCAGGAAAGGGGAACACGGTTCCCCGTGAATCTGGGTAGCATGGGTGTAACTGAAAGTGTAAAGGGCTTCCCTTAATTAAGCTCATTTTACCTAGTCGCTTGGATTCCTTTTGTCGCTGCTATTCTAATTATCCACATCCCAACAGTTTTGTTTTCAAGAGCAGCTACTCCTGTTGGTGCTACTTTATACAGTGTGGTCAGTTTTGAAATGATCACAATGCACAACTGATGCCATCATCTTGTGATTTCTTCCAGATCCTAAATCAAATACAGTGAACAGCACGAGGCCGAGTGCCTGCAGGAGTCCATTAGTAACAGTCTTTACTCATTGATGAATCCTTTCTAACAAAGCCATTTTAAGATCTTTCCATTAGCTATTTTTAAACCATTTCTTATGCACTGGTATTGATTTTGTATATAACTTTTTCTTCAAATCTGGATACTGTGCAGCTCTGAGTCAACATGGTTACTGCTGTCAACTGCACCTGTGATTTTATCAAGGAACAGAATGAAAATGGTTCTTTGACAGGAACGTTTACATTTCCCATGAAAACTGCTGATGGCCATCTCATTACATCCCCTCTCTCCGTCTCCTTATTAATTGGTACATGCCACTTCTCTATAGGTAGGTCAGAAGTGTCAGATGAACCAACATGAGCTTACCTCAGTCACACACTTCAAATATTGACACAGCGCTGAGTTTCACCTTAGAAATGGTCCTCTGGCCCAATTCTAGACTCTCATGTTCCCACCTTGTGTGAGAACAGTCATCTGAACAGCGAGCTCTTAAAACCCTGATGTGCAAGTCCTCTGGACCTGCTGCTTTTCAAATGTCAGCTGTGCTGTTTAATGTTCTTCTTTTTTTAAGTTGTTTGCATGGGAAGCATTTCATCATCATTATATAACGTAGAAACAACATTCAACTTTGTCCCAAATACAGGCAGGAAATATTTATCAAACGCTTCTGCTTTTTTCAGTTTCACAGCTATCCAAATATATTTGGGTTCACTGAGAGTGTTAGGAATTGGACTCTGCTAAAACATTGTTCATCAAATTAAGCAGGCTTCCAAAAATCTTTGCTTACACCTTGATATTTTCTGCTCAGAAGACATTGACTCCAGGCTCTTTTAGAAAGGATGTTGGTTAACTGGATTAACCCCTCCTCCAAAATAGACCTCGGTTCTGCTTTCAGCCATGGAAAGCTTGTCTGCTTGTTTTCCTTTTACTTGAACGCCAGCAGTTTTGGTCCATCTCCTGAGCCAAGGTCAGCTGTGCCTTTCTCTAGAACTGAGATGTTCTTCCAAAGCTACAGCTTCATCTCTCTTTTCCCCTGCTGCCAGCAGACACAGAATATCCTGCTAGCTGTAAAAGACAAGAGCTGGGGGCAAGGAGGGGTCATTTCTTAGATATCACATACCGTCCCTCTCAAGGCAGCATTGTTCAATCGTACAGTTTTTTCCCCCCTCTTTTTCTTTTGCTGTTGTTCCAGGGCAAACAAAAGGAAGAAAGCAAAGTAATGACCCCTGACAGAAGTGTTTACCCTTTCAGATTTTGGTCTGGTAAAGCTTGCATGGACTGAAGATTAGGTGCTTGTCTGTGCATTGATGAGACCCACAGAAAGCCACGCACAGGCAGCCTGCTGGCAAAGAAAAGGCTGAACTAGAGCCATGCCTAGGCTCAGCTGCCCCATCTCCTCCTGTTCTCTCCTTCTGGGGGTATGTATTTTGCCCTTTGTGCAGGAGTGAGTCGGAGCAGAGTGACTGCCCCATCGCTGCAGGTCCCCAAGGCTAGGCTGGATGGCCCCTCATCAGTGGGAGCTGTGGCAGGGGTTGCAGTCAGACGGCTTTGAGCTCCCTTCCAACCTAAATCAACCACATCATTCTTCTTCAACAAGATGAAGAGGGGT